AACAGTACTCAAAGTGCTTTACAATGTTTCTAAATTATCTGAGCTGCCATGCAAGGTGCTTGGAACTTTGGGTTCAGTGGAGTATCAAACCATCACATTACCCTGTTGGCTGAAAAATGATGCTAAAGGCTACCCAGTGTGCTCAAAAATGACGCCAAGGAGTCCTAACAAAGCAGCAGTATGTCATAAGTTGTGTGTGAGACCAGGCTAGATGGCGCTGTTACATATTCAACTTTAAAAATAGTAGAGAAGACACTTAAAGGTGGCGTCACCAATTCTGAAGAAAAATATTCAAGTCAATATTTAGAGAATCAGTATATTTAGAGAGAACTGCAACCTTTAGGTGTTCTGTGTAAACTGGGAACAAAGAAAAAAATATGTTTAAAAGATCCTCAGCAGTTATAAATGGACCTTCTGGTGAGACTGAACTTTTCGTGCCAAGACCAAATGGAATTAAGTTTAGGTCACTGCAAGGAAGTTAATTTACAGTAGATTAGGATTAAGGCTTACATGATTGGATGGATTTAGACCATTAGGTTAGATGGACTTAGAGGATTAGATCTACAGTTAGGTTAGTTGTAGCAGTGATTAGCTGTCAGCATTTCTTTTTATTTTCTTTTTTCATATTGTCAACCTTTATCTTCACTCATTTTATGAACCAAATCCTTTATAAATGTAATTGTTTATCCATTATGTATGTCCTTTACTTCAGTTGGTACATTTTTGTAATATATTTTTTGTTTTGTTGTTTGTGTGCAGCACAGATTTTGGACATTTGACAAACTCCTGATTGTATTAATCTGTACTGTATTAATCAAAGCCAGTATTTGCCAACTAAACATACTGTGCTACACACGACATGATCCCGTGGTTCGCTGCACAAAAAAAAACACAGCTTTTCATGACAACAAGACACTTGCTGGGAGCAGAGCAGTCGTGACCACATATCCAATTCAAGCAAACCCTTCTACTTAAGCTAATAATCATATCACAGAATTATCTGGAATTATTCCACGGCTACACAAATCCGTTTAGAGAGCAATTCTCGGTTTGGGTATAATTTTTGATAAAGCTCTCAGCGGTGTCATTGTTTACCGCACAAATCTCCCCATTTACTGCGAGTCCTTCTAGACTCCAGCATGAAGTAATTTGAGTGAACCAAACAAAAGTGGATTTAAGTCCTGGGGCATTATAATGGAGAAGATTTGTGTTGTGAAATTACTTTCTCTATTCCAACAATAGGAATGGGAGCGCTAACTGGTGGAGCATGTAATTTAAACTGCCTCGGCTGTCATTACTTTACAAACTCTGATGAACCTTGGATAAATTGTGCCGTGCGAACTGGTTGCCAGCAGTAGCCCACCGTCTGCCTTGGATGACCACCACCAACACGAGCCAGAAATATCTGACCACCAGAGAATTCTTGCCACTGTGTAATGGTAACTTCTTGGATTCCAATTGGAACCGAAACATCCATCCATCCATTATCTATACACCGCTGAATCCTCACTAGGGTCGCAGGGGGGCTGGAGCCTATCCCAGCCGACTTAGGGCGAAGGCAGGGGACACCCTGGACAGGTCGCCAGTCTATCGCAGGGCCGGGACGCGAACCGGCAACCTTCTTGCTGCGAGGCAACAGTGCTACCAACTGCACCACCTTGCAGCCCAGAACCGAAACACTCACGCAAAAAATAGGCCCCTTTGTGCATCTCTGGCGGTTTGCTGCGCTCACTTCTGCAGCGTTAACATCCCCCTCATGCTATCGGGCTGCACAGAAGCCTCTCACGGGTGTTCAACAGCGGATGACCCCCCTGACCCGAGTCCCCCACATCCACTTGAAGCGCGCTCTTGTATGAGGAAAAACATCAGTGTTGTAGATTTTACACGCCGGCAGCTGATGAAAGTGTTGTGGGGGATACTTGTGTCTTTCATGTTTGTGTGTAGTCTGGCCATACGTACGTGGACGTCTGTATTTTTTCACATGTGCACTCGAGGACGCGGCACTTCAGATCAATAAACAGGAGCCAGCTTTCATCTGTCGCGGTAGAATAAATCTCCTGTAGGAAAGGAGCAGAGAGCAAAGGCCACGCCGCTGGAACCTGTCCAGAAAGGTGCCATTTTTGTGTGGACAGTTTTCATATTTTTGCAGCGTAAAGCATACGGATGCATAAAAAGAGTGTTTCAGAGAAATGAAAGGGTTGGCGATTTTGTACAAAGCAGCGATCAAGCATGGGGCTGAATCGCTATTTCAGGGGAATTTGTAGGTGAGCTGATGTGGGTTTGTGAATGAATTAGTCCTGCACGCAGCCGAATCCAGTCTCTGCTGTTGTGTCCAATAACAACCACTTGTACAATTCTTGAGCAAACAATCCACACCTGCTCAGCTAATCTCTACTTTAACACACAAAGAGCGGATAAAATACGATAAGGCGCCGTAAACTGATAAAGGCGTCCGTGCTTTTATGATTAAATGCCATATTTTATCAGCAGCCCCACTGATCTGGTGTGCTTTGCATGTTTTTTGTTTTTTTTCCCCTTGCAAAAACTGATCATCCTTCAGATTTGTGTCTGTTTTGACGGATGAAACATTAAAGAAACCAAACTTAGAAATGATGGATACATGTCAGAATCATTATCATCCATTTAGTCATCAGAAACAAGGAGGCGTTCTTGTTGGAGTCTTGTTGTTTCTGCTTCGTGAAAAGGCAAAACACAAACTGTCACACGAATTCTAAAACAAGCGGAGACGGCAATGAGACAGAAAACCACACCTCAGTGTACAGCAACAGGCTGGTCCTAGATTTGTTTGCAACCGGAATGAGTCCTCTTCCTTTACCGGGTCTTTTGTACCTAATTGCTGTGTTCACATTTTGAACAAAGGAACTCTTTGCACATCTATTTCTTGAGGCAGGTGCGTAGGAGAGGGACGAGCGCATCCAAAAGTTTCCGTCATACTCAGGCACACTGACTAAATGCAAAAATACATTTATTAGCAAAGTGTTTTGATGCTAGATCTTCATTAGGCAGATGGTTTTCACCTCGTGAAGGTCCGACTCCAGGGAGCACTTACAAGTTGCGCTAATAAATATAGTTTTGCAAGTCAGACAGCGTTCGTGAGTCTACATGAAACTCTTCCTTAAAGATTCGTTCAGTGCCACAAGAACTATTTCCTTTAAACACAGACCGGAGACTCTAAGCACGGGTCAGATTAGTTCAGGAGAAAATTGCTGTGAAGACAAAACCGCACTGTTCTTCCACTTAGCATGTACAAAATACATAATATGGAGAGTAAAACACTTTCAAACTTCCCTGTTGATTCAGTCTATTGTGGCGCTCTGCTGCAATCATGCCATCAACTGTTCAAGTCCTTTGTGAGTAAAGTGAATATTCTTTGTGGAATGATTGCTGAAAATGAACGTCTGAGATGTAGGTTACACCAATCAGCCACAACGTTAAAGTCACGGATAGGTGAAGTGGAAAGCATTGATTGTCTCCTAACAATGGCACCTGTGAAGGTGGGCAGCAAGGGAACAGTTAGTTCTTCAAGTTTATGTGTCGGAAGCAGGAGAAACGGACAGAAAAAGGATCTGAGAGGCTTTGAAATAGGTGCGTCCACAAACTGAAAGCACCTACGCTGGACACGTGATGTCCAGACTAAAAGACGGTGGTCTGACCTGATGAATCATGTTTTCTTTTACATCATGTGGATGGCTGGCTTTGTGTGCATTGTACAGCAGGACGCACTATGGGAACAAGGCGAGCAGACGGAGACCGTGCGACGCTCTGGGCGATGTTCTGTTGGGAACTCGTGGATGTTATTTAAACACGTATGACCCATTTAAACATCGTTATAGGCCACATACACCCCGTCATGACGACCATACTCCCTGATGGCAGTGGGTTCTTTCAGCGGAAAAACGCTCCCTGACACGCTGCAAACATCATCCAGGAACAGTTTAAGGAACCTGACCAAGAGGTCAAGGTGGTAACTTGCCCTCTAAAGAGTTCAGGTCTCAATCCAATCGAGGAAAAACAAGTCCTATCCATGGTGGCAGAGCGGTTTCGCTGGTTTGAGAAAAGACGTACTCACTGTTATGCAGGTGTTGTGAATGTTGTGGTTGATTGGCGATAGAACATTTTCTTGAAACCGAGTAACTGAGTTGAGCTACAGGGTTGGAACAAGACTACACAAGGTGAAAATACAGGATTAAATACTTACCGAGTTGCTTTTTGACCTTGAATAGTTTGGACATGTGAGAAAAATGAAAAAGCCACAAAAACAAATCAAAATATTCAGAACATCAACAAAACAAACATAAAAAAACAAAGCAACATCTAATAACCCACCATATCTGAAAAGGAGTAGGACAAAGCATAAGCTTATTTACTCCTACCCCTTCTCCATCGCGACCATCAGTCACTCAGTACGCCACTCCCATAGTTCTTTATGTACATATTTACAAACTAAATAGAAATTAAACAGCATAAATAAACAAATATTAAATAATCAGTGATATACCCATGTCAAAGCCCTTCCTCCTCCCTGTACCTCGAGAGAATCATAATTTTTGTACTGCTTTTTCAGCTGGGTCGTGCTTGGACATTGCTTGAGCTCCAACCCCAATCCATTCCACAATCTCACGACAAAATGACTTGTCCGAAATCTTCCATGTTTTAGTTTTAAATCCCCCCCTCCAGCAAGAACCCGCATCTCTGTTCAAGTTCTGAATATTTACAGGAAGTTGGTTGTTTAGTGCTTTGTACATTATCTGTGTTGTTTGAAAACACCTTGATGTGTTTTAGTTATTTAGGAAACTGAATATCCTAAAACTAAGCCTGACTTACTGAAGTTAACCTGGCTTAACTTCTGGGAGCTGAAACCAAGCTAAACAATATGAGGTAACACAACATCTCACCTACTGTTAAGAAACACATGTATGAGGAGTTGGTTGTCTAAGTACCACAGATGGGTGACAAATAAACACAGGTAACACCATGCGATCATTAGATAAAATCAACATTTATTATAAAAATACAACAGGTCATCACAGTCATGGTGTTCAGTATGGTCATTCATTAGAATTCAACACAGGAACAAGTCAAAGTGTGTGATGTTCCCCAAATTCTTTGAGCGAATGTGCTCTAAAACAAATTCAAACGCACACACACACACACACACGCACAAAAAGATAACGAACAATGTGACTGAGCTCGGCTACCATGAGGATATAAAAATAGATAAGGACATAAGGTTCCTTCTCAGACAGGAAATGAAGGAGATGGACTGACTCGTCTTTCACACATCACACTCATTATCCATTCCTCTTAGACGCCCCCTCCTCCCTCCATCACATGCTGACTTTTTTTTGGAGGAGACGGAATCCGTCAGTGTGAAATTAGGTCAGTGATCGCGTCGCTGATGGAAAATCACCTACAGAACCCACCAGACCACGGACGGACGCACACACAGACGGGGGAGTACGTACGCTTTCTCCCCACCCCCCCACACTGGCCGTCTCTCTCCGAGACACACAGATGTGTTGCTAAAGGGTTGCCATGACAACCCTCTTCCGTTCCCAGTCGGTCAGGGCGAGTGTGAGAGTCTGTGTGGAAAGTGTAATCGAGTAGAGTCATTTAGGGCTCAGAGAGAAAGTCATTTTGTTGCAGAAATGTCCATTTTAAAGACAATTTCAGGACTGTGAGCTCCCAAATCAGCCCGCAGCGAGCGGAGTGTAACACTGTGAGGTTGTTTTAGCTCTGACTAAACAGTCAGGAAATACTGTCCTCCTCCCACCAGTAATCACCAACAGATCACAGATTACTATTACTGTGTTACATCAGTCTGACACCTCCTTTAGTTTGGCTTTTAACGACACAATTACACTTCATTCATTTTATTTACTGAGCACTTCAGCTTGTGCAGTTTGCAGCGAGGACCCGAGCCGTGTGCAGATTAAAGTGATTAGGTGTGCTTTAAATTTGAGCTGCTGCATCGTAAATCTCAAGCTGAAACTGTGGTCTAATGGTGAAATATTTGCACGGCAGCGAGGGAAAATCACGGTCAGTTTGATCTATGCTTTAATAAACGTGTAACTGGGAGCCACCAAGTGGATGCTGCAACACTTGCACTGAAGAGCAATTTGCTGGTTGTGGAGGAATCTGATGCAATTCCAAATATTTCTTGAGACTTCAATTAAATCAAACACCCTCATTGACACTTGTTATGATTCCATTCAATTGTGTTTGTAATAACCCATTAATCTAAGAGTTTTGTGCTAGTAGCAGGGTCTGCCGTTCCAACACGGGCTTCAGATGTAAAGAAATGCAGCAGGTCATACAGTTTATAATTTTATCTCACAGATATCAGCCTTCTCAGAATCCTGTATCAAAGCTGCTGCTAATGCAAGACCAACATTTCCTCCAGTTGCTGCTCTTTTACCTTCCAAGTATTTGACTGGCAAAACACAGAGTGGCTCTTATAGTGAAGCAGTCTCAGGAGAGATGGTGTGTTGGTGCTAAAAGAATCATCTAGAAGAGGCGTTGCTCATCAAGCGGGACTCAAACTGTGGGAATAATAATAACTTTAAAGACCCTCTCCAGTAAACTCAAGGTTTTTAGCTTGTTAACATGCCCACAAGGTGTTTTATCTTTGCTGGAAGACATATCATGAAGGAAATAAGCAGTCAACGCCATTGCTGAGTACCGATGACAGTCTCAGGTGAGCTGGTGTGCTCGAGCTACACGGATAGGTGTAGAGAAGCAGGGGCTTCACATCTACGCCTTATTAAGGTAGGAAGGGATTGTTTTCATAGGAAAAAATTAATCTAAAAATATATATAATTCTGATGCACAGAGATGAGCTTTTAGGGGTTTAAATCAACGATCAGAGAATGACTTTAAAATGAGCTTTTGTCAAACACAAGATTGTCATTGTTGTTATAATTATTAGCGCAGGTTAAATATAATCTCTTAAGTCAACATATATTTAAATACCATACTGGGTGGACAGTTGTTTTTATCAGCTTTACTCGGCTCTAATCTGATCAGAGGTCAGTCAAACAATGTACCACACTAAAAAACATAAAAACACAAACACACAATATGGTGATGTGGATAGCTTGCATAGGATGGCCAACAAGGCATTAGACTGCAGCAACAGCAAACAGAGTATAGCTATGACAGCTAGACAGTTTAGGATCATTTAAGGAAAACTCCAGACTTTTATCATCTGAAACTGATGAAGAATTTAAATCTGATCTATTTATTACTTCTCCTGTGGTGCCTGTAAAAACAGTCCTGAAGTGAATTTACTAAACATGTGCCGTTGGTCTTTTGTTTCACTTTGCACTGTGACCACAGTCACCTGTAGAAACAGGAAGAAAGCTGCACAAGCAAACAACAACATGATGTGTCTTGAACTGCAGAGATCACCTCTAGCAGCTGTTTTAAATGAGGTTTATGGTATTTGTTAGAGTGGAATCTTCCTTTAATGATGTAAAACTTTGGACATATTTAAAGTTACACAGACAACATCTGCACTGCACAGACAGACAGAGCGGGTGCCCGAGGATGTAATGCTACTTTAGATATAGGAGGACTGTGCTTCTCCACAAAAGAACCACGAGATTAAAAACACATTCAGTGATCTCTTTGTGTAGACATGACATCCAATTCTTCAAGAGATATTCTCAGGAAAACATTCAGTTTTGATTTTATCATGAGGTTCTGTACACTTTATACTGTGTGATTGGCATGTCGCCTCATTTTTGCTGGTTTGAATTCACTACTTTTGACTCATTTCTGGTCAAATGTGCGATATGTGCTACAATAGAACTGTGTTATCTCTACTTTGAGACTGGGCAATTGGTCAGCTGTTTCAGGTAGCTCATGAGTACGTTTAGCTTGTCATAATGGAGCAAATGATCTATTAAGAGTATACGTATGACTGATTTTATTATCACACATTTTTGAGTTGACCAAGTCAAGTCTAGTTCAACTCTAGGGGGCTCCAAACCGGAAATTAAGCCAAATCAATCAACAAAATACCCAGCTTTGTTGTTGACAATCCAAATTTCTCTGCTTTTGCCTCAAGCCTGCAGGAGTTTCCTGAGGTCCTCGTCCATGCCTTGTGCCCTCAGCTGGTCTAGGCTGTGGTAGCGATGGATGACACCGTCAGCAGTCACCACCACCACCCTGACACCGTGGGTGTCATCGCCAAGCTGGCAGCCGATGGCTGAGCTGACGACCATGTCCAGGCCACCGTGGCAGCCACCGGCGTTTCGGTGATAATGGCCGGAGAAGACCGCTTTCACCCCTGTGGTGATGAGAAAATGTGTAAGGAATTAGGCTCAGTCATCAAGAAACCAAACAGCATTTAATGGGGGAACTCAAACATGTGAAGGTGCTGTATGAGGGGTTCAGAACCAGTTGATGTAAAGCAGCAGCATCTCCGAGCTAAAGACATGTGTGTGTTGGCCACACCTCCCCCTCCTGTCGTGTTTCATTTACAACCATACAGATTGTGTACAAAAACAAAAAACAGTCCAGCCACAACCATTAACCCACGGTAGACAAGTAAAATACATTGTACGGTCAGAGTGAGTTGGTGTTCACTTGACTAACGTGATCTTTACTTGGTCTGCTCTGATCTGTGTGTGTCTGCTTCATCAAGAGTCCGTCACACACAGCAGAGGAGACACACAGAGCAGACTGAAATGAAAAAGTGCAAATAAATTAGGTAAATAACATCAATAAAATGCCATTTTTTGAGACACTGGCTGAATACTTGTTCTTACAGAGTGGAAGGTGACACTCACTCTGCTGGACTCACACATCCTAGCGTGCATTCACATACACTGACACGTGTGGATGGACTGACTACAAAAACATCAAACAGAGACGCTCAGATTACAATTCATACAGAGGGAGTGTGACTCCGCTAAGGATGCAATTACTCCACTATTTATTTGTCTTTGTTCTATAAATGCTGCTCTTAAATGTGTTTTTAGTGGCCTGATTCAGTTTGCCTCAGCGTAAGTCACTGATCTAAACTGGGATATTACTAAATAGTGAACTTGGCTTTAAAGGTGCCATGTAATTCACATTAGGTTTGACCCTGTGTCCCTCATGAAATCCCAAATAAAGAATCAGCACTTACAATTATTAACACCTCACAGTACAAAATAATCAGAATACGTCTACATGGAATTGACAGGTTTCAATGTCAGCCTTTAAATAACTGTGATTACAGCTCCGGGTGTGTTTTTCAAGAAGAAGCTGCTGCTGAGTTTTGTCAGTTTCTGAGAGATTAATGTACATTTAATTACAACTTATTTCCATGAGCATAATGTAATTATTAGCACATCTCATCTCTTCCGAATGCACTCAAGCGCATTGCATTTTTACAGTGAATCCTTTAATCACTTCCCAACCTTGTTCCTTGCAACAGCCACCTGTCTAGATGTTAATGGACAGAAAAAGGAAAGTAGAAAAGAACACAAGAGAGGAATGTAGAGAAGCATGAATGAGAAAAGGTAGAAAAAACAATATGATGAGGGAAAGAAGAACCAAACTACAAAGACCAACATTGAAGAAGGGTGGGTGGAAGGAAGAGAGAAAGAACAAACTGTGGAACCCTCTACTTGTCGTATATTTTCGCAACTTTCATTAAGGTGGCCTCAATTTTCAATTTGATTTCAATTACAAACAACATCGTTAATAGAACGGAGAGGGTATGGCTCGGCCCTGCGGCAGTGATGCTGTGTCACTACAGTTAAAATGACTGCACACTTAAAATGGCACGCCAAACAAGCCTCACTTTGAATGAGGGCTGCAAAATGGGTTGTTTTTCTGGCTGCATTTGTCTGAGCCTGTGAATTTGTCTCCCTATTCTGGGGAGAACCAATTTGACTTTCAGGCGAGTTGCTGTCAATTTTGGCCAATTTTCACTTGAACAAGGGGAAAACACAGGGTTAGGATGGTTGGGATGAGATGAAACTGGTCATTGGGTTTAGTGCCTTAAAATTAGGTTACAAAAAGATCAAAGTGTAGCATGACTTCATGTGTATATTCCCGTTTCTACCACCAGCACACGTGCATGTTCAAATGCACATGCATGTGTAGGTAAGAGGATTTTGAAATGAGTTTACTGCAGCCTTTTGGCAGAGAACATGAGCTGTTCTATTTTCTAACTGCAAGTGTTTCCATGGAGGGAAGTCTGGCTGCTCGCTGCCTCGTCTCCAAAGAGACACCCAGCCAAAAAAATAATGAAAACTGGCAACAAAAGAGGATAAATTGCAGTCTGTGCATGAGAAAGACATCGGTCTGTCCCAGAAATCTGCACAACAAAGACAAGGAAGATCCCTCCGAAAAAGCTCGTATGTATCCGCTGCTGATACTACTTCGATGTCAGCACCGTGAAATTGCCTTGAATCATCAAGTCGGCCACTCTGCATAATCAAACAGCACCAGAATACAAATGTGACCTAAATTTATATTAATATTTGGAGCTCTGTGAGGACAGCGGTTGCACATGCTGGACCATTAAATAATTAATCCGCCATAGATGGAAATTGATGATTTAGGCTTGTATGTGTGTATGCCTTGGCTAAATTCATTTCTAATCAAAACCTGGGGCAGCACTGTGTGTGCCCACCCTTGTGTGACTTGTGGGTGGGCCTGCAGCCATATCATTATGGACCACACATTTCATGAATCGGTTTGTGTGTGTGTGTGTGTGTGTGGGCCAGGAATGCCTTCCATGTAACCTTGCCACTTCTCCAGGTGACTGACTAACTGGGCAGGGTCAACATTGTTTAGTCACAATTGTGTGTTTTTGTAAATGTGTGTCCTTGATGTAGATTCCAAATGAGGACCGAAAGGCCATAAATACCCCCCTGCGCCTCTAGGCCGAAGGATGGACTCATTATTTTGTGTAACTATGTGTGTGTAGCTGTGTGTGTGTGTGTTCTGTGTGTGGTCCGTACATGTGTGTGTTTTTCTCTATCCCACAAGGAATTACACAGCTCATCTACAATTATTCAGACCCTACGAATGAAAACAAAGCCAAGCAGCGACAGAAGTGTGAACCGGGGAAAATGTTTGATGGGATCACCTGATGACTCAGTTAGCGACACCGATTGTGGAAATGTTGGATTTGTTACAGTATCCACATGAGAGCTGCGACGTCTTCGTCACCTCCGAGAGATGAGGTGGTGGGAGGAAGACACTAAGACAGTAATAGTAAAGGGGTGATAGACAAGAGTTAATCCTGCAATAATGACGAATAAACCAGCAGGTGGAATAAAAATCCCTTTGAAGCTGAACCTCCTCTGAAACTCCTAAAGATACCATGATTAATCATGCCGCCAAATAAAGTATGTGGGAGTATGTAAGTGTGCATATGTATACATGTGTTAGTGTGTCGGAGTTCTGTTGCGACATTTCTGATCATCCACATCCCACACGCACTGCATGACACTACCACGCAGCAGCAGTGAGCTTCCCCCATATGCATGTTGCATAGTGGTGATGAATTTGTTTAGTTGTGTTGTGCTGTATGTTTGTTGGTTGTAGTTTAAAAATGAAAAGTCAAAATAGGCACATTAACAAACAAACAGCTTATAAACACATGCACTGTTAAACACACAAAAGAGCGCTTTACCCTTTCTGGTTAGAGTCAAACTTTTAACCAGACACCTTCTATAAAAGATGGATGTAGCCTCGGGTACTGAAAAATGGAGTCAATGTCGAAGAGCCTTAAACCTGCATTCTTTCTAAGAGCCAGCAGGGGGCGACTCCTCTGGCTGCAAAAGAAGTCTGATTGTATAGAAGTCAATGAGAAAATAACCCTACTTCTTACTTATTTTGTTACATTTTCCCAATGAGTTTATGGTCTCAGTATCTAGTCGCACGCCTATTTCAACACAGCATGATGTTCAGTTGTAAATGATGGTTCCATTTAAGGTGCAATAGATAAAAAAGCTGTTCATGTTCCAGGCTACCTTGTGATTGCCAGGCTACTACCATACAGGCATGCATAGTGTTCTTGTGTTCTCAGATCATGACCAAATTTCAACTCAAAGCTTGAAACTAGCGATCCACAAACCAGTGGATCAGATCCTGGTCGCTACGACTTATTTGCTTGTTGCAAGACTTTCATGAAAGTGCGTCTCTGTAGCCTCTATGCTAGTTAAATTCTTATAATTCTTTACTTTGAGTACAGAGACAGCTACACAAAAAACAATGCAGAACCATAAATCTGCCTTAAAAGGTGATTTCTGGTTGGAAAATTTATATCTAATGTGTTTGCACTTAAAGAACTGCATTTACTACAATTTTTAAATGGCTATGAACACCAAACACAATCCTTTGTTAAAGTACAGTTCAGACACCAGAACAACAACAATTCTATCCTGTTCTCTGAAATATTTCCCTCTTAGTTTTCTCCTCTAAGGTTGTCCGAGAGTTGAGCTTGGCTAACCTGTCGATCAGACCTTTTGGGTCACCACGGCACACTACAGGCTTTCTTTCTTTTTTTAGTATGTAGCAGCAAGTATGACCGAGAAGTGAAGTGGACTGAACCGAAAGACAATTTGTATGTTGTGGAAATTAATCAGCTTGCTCTTCTGGCTTGTTCCAGTGGCTTTTTTAGAGCAAAATCGATTTCATAGCAAGAATTTAGCAAAGGCCCAGCGCCCGACCCTGACCCAAATTCATTTGAGTGTGTCCTTCTCAGAGTGGCGTTATTTTTTTGGCTTTAGAAGTCAAACCACTCCAGCTGGGCTCTTGTTTGCTAAAAACACTGAGAGAAAAGATGGTCTGTCTGAGAAAGAAAAGTATTTTCCATCTGCAAAAGATTGTGCGTATGAATAAAAGATAAACAATTGAAGGGAAAAAAAAAAATGGAATAAAGATGTTGAGAAAGCTGTCCCCTTTGTAATGCAGCCAGAAGATGAAGCTGACCTCTGAAATTGTCTGCCAGAAAATCAATGGGTGGAGGCTGAGAGTGCCTGCATGAAACTGAAAAATGCACAAAATAAAAAAAAAAAAGCAAAAGACATTTCGAAACCCCAGGTAACCACATAAGAAATGGACGGTGTGTGTGAGATGCATATTTAGTAGCAGAAGCAACAGGCAAATTAGAAGTGGAAACAGGACTAAAAGTGTACCTAAGCTACATGTTGACACCACGCACCGAGCAAAAGCAGTATGTCAGCAGAGCAGTAGCAGCTTCTGTCCACCGTCTGCCAGCACAGGATGTGTTCAGCGCAGGGCTGAGTTTCTAATTGGAACTGAACACAGGCACTTGTGCAA